ACATTTCTATGTTCATAATTTTTGAACTTCATATTTACAATTATTGAACTCTATATTCACAATTACAGAACTCTGTGTTCATAATTACAGAATTCTATGTTCATAACTCTAAAACTCTATGTTTATAATTTTTGAACTTCATATTCACAATTATTGAACTCTATATTTACAATTACCGAACTCTATGTTCATAATTATAGAACTCTATGTTCATAACTCTATGTTCATAATTTTTGAACTCTATATTCATAATTATGACAGTTTTAAAATTGTATCTACCATGATCAAGGTGGATACGGTTACACAACATAATTTGCCGCAGCGCCAAACCATATTGGTCAAAAGTTATATTCGGTAGAAGGGGCCCAATTGGTCCATTGATATGCCTTGATTTGGACATGGCGAAGCAATAAATTCAAGAACTCGCTAAAGTGTATTTGTCGGATTTGAAGAAATAAAATAAGACATTTGCAAAAAAAAGAAATAAAATAAGCCATTGTATGTGGAAGTGTGGGTACACAATAAAGTGAACTGGTGACCTGTATGGGTTGAGAAAAATCAATCAATTTTATTTTTGTTATTAGTCAAATTTGGCATATATTGTACAATAGAATAAATCACTAATGAAAAGTAATAAAATTATAAAGAGAAAGTGACAAATGAAATAATCAATACATCATTAAACAAGGAAGAAATGTAAGTAGTGAAAATAAATTAAGTGTACAAGAAAGTAAGTATAGTGTATTTTTTTTTTATTGAAAAAAATAATGTATTAGTTATTATATTTAACGACGGTGACAATTTAAAAAAAGAAAAAAGAGAGAGATAATGTTAGGAAGAGTTTGTAAAGCATATAAGAAAGTAAACATAATGCACAAGCTAATATTGTACATGCACATTTTTTTTATTTGATTAAAATCTCATAACTATTGACATTTATATAATTTGAAATTTAGACTAGACATTATATCTTGAAGGCAGTCGTTATATCGTGCACCGCGGTGCATAACCGATTATGCACCGCGCGTCAAAACGATGCCGTTTCTGCAGTTATAACAGAGTGATACTACAGTGTGTCTAAACCGACAATGTCTCACGTATTATTTTTATATTATCAAATGAAACTGCAGTTATATCAAAATGATATTGTAGTTGTCGTGAAATGAAACTACAATATATATAAAATGAAACTGAATAACATTTCACATATTTGAGTGTATATTGTACAATGAAGCTGTAATTATATTGAAATGATCATGTAGTTGTGTTTTAATGAAACTATAATGTATATAAAATAAAATAAAATAAAATAACATTTTCACATATTTGAGTGTATAAATATTGAATGAAATTGTAGTTATATTGAAATGAAACTGTAGTTGTGTTGAACTGAAATTGCAGTGTATACAAAATGAAACTGAAGAACAGAGTTATTTTTTGCGAAGATTCTGTTTCTTTTCACTAAACAAAACGACGTCGTTTTGATGCGCGGTGCATGATCGATCATGCACCGCGGTGCACGATATAATTTGCTTCTTGAAGGGATACAAATCTTAGTCCAAAACCCATGGGCTAGCTCGATAAGACTAAAAAATTTAAGAATTTGGACCAAAAAAGTTTAACCCAATAAAAATTAGTTAGATTAGCTAGAAATAACTAATAAGCAAGTCTGCTATCTGGTTACTGGCAAATTATTGTGTGGACTATCATCCATATAGTGCTGTATGGACCATAAAAGAATGTGCATTTTTAATATACTAAAAATATATTATTTTTGTACTGAATGTATATTATATAAAATAATGTACTTTTAGTATTTAAATAATATACTTTCTCTGAATTCAAAGTACATTTTTAATATACTAAAAGTACATTATTTTATAGTATACAAAATATGGTCCACAAAATAATAATTGTCGATTGCTTGAGCCACTCAAAGACTACTCCTTGTTTTACAAATGATGTAAAACAAAATATACAATAGTTTTTTAAAAAAAAAGTTTTTTATTAAAATTTTAATTAACTTATTACAAAATAAATTATTTTTATAAAAAATAATAATGAAAAATAAAAAAGGTATTGTAATTATCATATTATAAGTATAAAAAAAGAAATTATTTTTGACAAACACTTTGTGCTCAGATGGCATGCAGTGATCTCTTACATGTGAGAGATCATGAGATTAAGCCTTATAGAGACGTTGTCCGATACTATAATGTAATAAAATCAGTAACATTCAAAAAAAAAATTATTTTTATTTTAAAAAAAATTTATTTATATATTTTATACAAATGTCTATAACTATTACATTATGTTTTTGAGTTAAAATTTAAAATTAGAAATACAAATTGATAAATGTTTTAAGTTTATATTTTTAATATAAATGTACTAATGTAATAAAGTCATTAGCATTCAAAAAAAAATTATTTTTATTTTATACTTTTTTTTGAATGCTACTGACTCTATTACAATGTAGTATCCATTCATAACTACTTTCTCAACCTACTGACCAATAATGCCTCCACTGGAGCTCAAACTTACAACTTCTCATATAGGAGTCCAACCCGGGTGCCATATGTGCACAAGATGCTTGGCTATTTATATACTTTATACAAGTCTATAATTGTTACATTATGTTCTTGAGTTAAAATTTAAAATTAGAAATACAAATTGATAAATGTTTTAACTTTATACTTTTAATATAAATGTACTAGTTTGTTAAAATTGAAAGTTTAAAATGTTAACTTTAAATGTCAAAAGTATTTGCTCCACTCGCCCAATAAGTATGATAATTCGAAGTTTTAGAGTTAGACAAATTATATGGACAATAGTTTACCTTGCATTATGGATCTTGTCTTAAAAGAACATTCGAATTATGTACCTGCCGTTAATGTATTGTGTACATTTAGTTAACATATTATATACTTGTAAATAAACTAAAGGTACACAATATGTTAATTATAATAAGTTCATAATTCATAACAGTTCAAAAAAAGTACATAATTTATTAACTGTAAATACATCATATATTAACTGCAGGTATATAATATATTAATTGTAATAAATACATAATTTATTAACTGAAAATATATAATATGTGAATTGCAGATACATAATTGGACAAGTTCCACCATGCACAACATAACAATTATTAGAATTAAGGCCAAAATTTTTTTACCCAATAAAAAAGTCCAACAGCTTGTCTGAGCTAGTCTATAATCAAGTGAACTAGCTAAATTAACATCCTGACAAATTATACAATGAACCATGGTCTACGTCACACTATGAACCGGAGAGAAAAAAAAAAAAACAGTGAATCCGTTAACAATGGACAATAAATTTCTGTAAGGTCAATGTAGTGTTATTTTCGTTGCGGTTGCGATGTTTTACTCAACTTCTCTCATTCTTGTTTTTCTTCTCATCGTCTCCCATATTCACTCAGCGATCTTCTACTCGACCATGTATCAAACAACAAATAGATGCAATCAAAGTTTTCACAATTAGCGTGATTGATGTAAATTCACGAATTGTTATTGATCATAGTTCATCAATTCTAGGTTTTTGATTCATTTATTATTGTATTTGTTATAGGGTTTGTGATTGTTTTTTTTAGATTGGAGTTTTTGTTATTGCAATTACTGATAATCATCTAGCTAGTTTCATTTCATTACAATATAACTAAAGTATCATTTTAATTCAACTACAGTTTAATTTGATAATATACCTTCAATAGTCAATATGAAAGACATGCTAGTCAGTTTCATTTTATATATACTGTAGTTTCATTACAACATAACTAAAGAATTATTTTAATTTAACTACAATTTTATTTGATAATATACACACAATATGTGAGACATGTTAGTCAGTTTCATTTTATATATACTGTAGTTTTATTACATCATAACTAAAGTATCATTTTAATTCGACTACAGTTTCATTTGACAATACACACTCAATATGTGAGACCCGCTACTCAATTTCATTCTATACACACTATAATTTCATTACGACACCACTAAAGTATCATTCTTATTCAACTTTAGTTTTTGACAATTTACGCTCAATATGTGAGACATGCTATTCAGTTTCATTTTATACATGTAGTTTCATTAAAGCACCACTACAATATCATTCTAATTCAACTACAGTTTCATTTGATATACAGTCAATATGCGAGATTTGTTATTCAATTTCATTTTATACACACTATAATTTTATTACAACATCATTTAAAAAAAAATGAGCACATACAAAACGTAACGAACGGAATAGCTGCCGTTTCGACACCGTTTTGACCATGGTCCATTAAATAATGATTGTTGAGACATTCCTAGTGTCCTAAATCTTATTTACTCAAGTATTTAGCATGTCATTTATATTTATGGGCAAAAACTTGTGTAAAACTGTCTCACGTATACTGGCTCTGATACCAAATGTTAGATATATTAAATATAATATATTTAATATAATATATATTAAATATAATATAATATATCTATAATATATATTAAATATAATATATCTATATATTATATTTATATATTGAGAAGAGAGAGAGAGGGGAATAGATAACTTGATTGATAATAAAAGCTTGAATACAAAGACTATTTATACTAGATAAGATAACTAAAATTAAGGAATTAATGCTCCATGTAAAGCTAACATCATGGCCATGTACTGCACCTATAATTACTCCCATTATTTTTAACCAATTAACTAACTACTTGGTTTAATATTACTAATAATAATAATAATAATAATAATAATATTATTATTATTATTATTATTATTATTATTATTATAACATTCTTGTAATTAAAGATTCAATTTTAGTATACTATCTAAAAATGAACTTTCAAATATAGTAAAAATAAACCTTCATATACTAAAAATAAACACTTATCCCCTTGTAACTAGACCATGATCCACAATATAATTTGCCCAGTTCAAACAACGTTGTAAATTGAAATCAGATTTAAGAATGCCATAGCCCTAAATAGTTCAAACAACATTGAAAATAAGATAAGATTTTTCCCAGAATGAGAAGCTAAATTCAGATGTTTACAGATATTATAGTGTTTTCTTTTCTAATGTTCTATCCACCAAGAAAAGAAGAAAAGCCTGAAACCAGAAATTGGTTTGGTATAAAGATTTGGCAATTCAAAAAGCAAAAAAACCTAAAACATTACACTTCTTCATGGCTTCATGAACAAAAGGTAAAAAGCAGTGTCCTCACCTTTGTTTCTGTTCTATCTACCCTCAGACTTGACGAGCTGCGAGAAAACCCGACTCATGGAGACGCCCGAAAGATCGTTGAGATCTGTTGTTTGGAACGGAGCAGCTGAGGCACTTGTGTCGGTGTGACTGAAATCATTGACTTGAGGAGAAAGGTCGATGAGGTTTGTGCTATTTTCATCGGGATCGTTTGGAACGATAGCTTCCTGTAGCTGCAGCGCGTATTCCAGGTTCCACAACACATCTCCTATCGAGGGTCGGTCCATGCCAAAATCTGCCAAGCATTTTTCTGCTGTCTCTGCAAATTTTCGGAGAGAATCTGGCCTTATTCTTCCCGCAAGTTTGGGATCGATTATTTGTTCGAGTTGTCCCTTCTGTTGCCACTTCATAGCCCATTCCGCTAGGTTCACCATTTCCCTAGGAAGAGATGGATCGATCACGGGCCTAGCGCAAAGAACCTCAAACAAAACGACACCAAAAGAGTACACATCCGACTTCTCCGTCAGTTGTTGCCTTCTAAAATATTCGGGGTCCAGGTACCCAAAACTCCCTTTAACAGCTGTGCTCACATGGGTTTGATCAATCTCGGGGCCGGTCTTGGAAAGTCCAAAGTCGGCGACTTTAGCCATTAAATTCTCGTCGAGCAATATGTTGGCAGACTTGACATCACGGTGTATAACTGCTTTAGCGTAGCCGGTATGAAGGTAGTGCAGACCTCTAGCAGCCCCGATGCATGCCTCGAGCCTCTGTTTCCAGCTCAAACTAGGAAGATCAGAGCCGTAGAGATGACCCTTGAGAGTCCCATTCTCCATGTACTCGTAGACTAGAATCATCTCGTTCCTTTCATCGCAATATCCTATCAAGGAAACCAGATGGCGGTGGCGGAATTGAGAAAGCATTTCAATTTCCGTTCTGAACTCCGCAAGACCTTGTTGGGACTTTGGGTTGCCCCGCTTTACAGCTACTTTTGTACCATCGCTTAACTCGCCCTTGTACACCTTCCCAAACCCGCCAATTCCAATAACCCAACTCTCGTCAAAGTTGTTCGTTGCTTCTTGTACAGCTGCAAAAGGAACGCGATAACTCAAATTAGAAGCACCGCTTATGGTCGTCCAATTTGAATTCTTACTTCCCATAGTGTGGGAAGTGGTTCCGTTAATCGAGAAAGGAAGCCATGTTTTTGACTGCCCAAGCTGCTCGTGTTTTCTCCTTCTGTGCAGGCAAAACAGAACGCTAACCATAGCCAAAGCAAATGCTACCCCGACGGCAACTCCCACTATTACTCCAACCTTCTTCTTTGAACCCGTGCCAGAGGAAGGAGATACAGAACTTATACTACTGAGGCTGCCCGCAGAATTGTTCATCTTCATAATCTCCAGACCATTCAGAAAGGCATCGGGGAAAGCACTTCTAGGAGACGGGCCAACACTTACACGAAGTTTGTCTTTATCACTCGATGCAGTAACATAATCGATGTAATAAGCAGTGGCCAATACTTCACCAACTACAGAACCCGGATCAAAATCTGGAGCCACATTTAACGAATCTATATAGATATTATACAGGAGCTGATTCGGGGCTGGACTCACTATGTCACAGAAGTGTAAGCGAAGAAAATACTGGAACCCAGGATCCACACTGAACTCCCAAGTCACGTTGAAATTCGCATTGGGATTATCACTGTCCACATTCATCTTAGTGCACGTTCCATAAACCGTCTTGGGTGCAGAATCTTCGGTTGCTTGACCAGATGTGTACTTTACGGATGAGATCTTGGACAGAGATTTTGCGACTTTTGGCTCTTTTAAGAAACCTTGGTCAGAATCCCAAGATCTCCATAGTGTATCGTTGTCGGGTGTCAAAGGCGATCCGCCCATGTTCACCCTAGCAACCGTCTCCAGTGCTTGTCCAGACAGGCCATTGAACGTCCCGGCTGGGCTGATGGATGCAGCAGTATCAGCTATGAGCGTGTCGGGAACTGATACAACCTCCAACGCGTTTACATAAGCGAACGAATTATCTGAAGGGCTGAAGGTTATCACAAGGTCCCCCGATGCTACATTCACCGAGAATTCCTTGGCAGTAACATTTTGAGGGCTAAAATTGGCAAGGAGAACATGGTTTTGGGCGGAGACCGAGAAACTAGCTGCCTTCATATTATAGTTCTGGAAAACAAACGGGTAGAAATAGAGGCGGATCCAGTGCCTCCCACCCTGGCTAATCGAAAGCTTGTAGCTCGATTTTTCACTGAAAATTCTAGCTGTCTGATAAAGCAGAGAATCCTCTGAGGGTATAATGGAGTTAGAAGGGGCAACAGCCAATATGTCTTGTGAAGTTGAAAGGAATTTTGAGGCTGATTTATCAGACACAAAAACCCTGCCACTCACTTTGCCATCATTAGGTGATCCACAGTTTATCAAGTATTTATCTCCAGGATCAAAGCTAGAACCAAAACCCCCCAAGAACACTATGAGCAGAGCCCAGATTACTAATCCAAAACCCCAATACATAATCAAACACACAAAAAAGCAAAGAATCTTAAATTATAAGCCTAAGATCTATGAAACTGAGATGACACTCAGCGTTTCAACACAATGCTTACCAAAATCTGGAAATACCCAATAAAGAAAACAGAAGAAAATGGGGAAAGATGGCACCTTTGCAATCAACTGAGAAGAAACAAAACAGAGCCGGGTAATCGGGTCGGGAAATTTAGTATAGAGCCAAAACACGGGAATATGACTATATTCTTCGCCGCCTAAACAGCTGGAATCCAGTAAACCACTGGCAGGGGGGTTTAGAAGCTGAGAAGGATCACCGCAAAAACAGACAAATGAGAGATTCCTAAGCACAAAATTCTTTCACTCACAGTTCATGTGGACATCGAGGGTTTCCGGATTAGGGTGACAAACGGAGAAATGGGATGGGGAAGAAGGGCTAAACAGTGATGAGAAGTTGAAGTTTGAAACCGAGTAATATAAACATGAGTAAATACCCAAATTCACAAATTGTTCATCAACTTTTAATTTTAACTATAGCTAAATTCACAAATTGTTCATCAACTTTTAATTTTAACTAATTAAGTTCTTAACTTTACAATTTTAACACGATTTGATTCTCTATCTATTTGATCGTTTGTTGACTGTGATTTTTGAAAATATATATGTAATTTCATGATCCATCGTCGAGTTTTTAAGGTTCCGGTTGCATTTCCAAACCGCACTGTTACATTTGAATCCACTGCTGAAAGCAATTTGCCAAATCTTGTCGCCTTTCTTCATCACCTCTTTGGATTCAACGTAGTTGAGTTCGTACCAGAGTGAAGAGTTAAGAAAAGTGGGGTGTTACATGAGCGATAGACTGTGTCACGACAGCGGATGAAGGCGAGTAGCGGTGAAATTACATATATATCCTCAGAAATCACAGTCAACAAATAGTCAAATAGATAAAAGATCAAATCGTGTTAAAATTACAAAGTTAAGAACTTAATTGATTAAAATTAAAAGTCGAAGATCAATTTATGAATTTAGCTATAGATAAGAGACCATTTTAAGTATTTACTCTATAACATCACTTCAAAACACCCAGCTGTACGAGAAAGGAAAGAATGGAGTTTGTAATTAATGAAAACAGACAAAAAATGTCCAACAGGCAACAGCAATAATAAATTTCCAGAAGTTTTGTTTTGTTTTTTTTTTTTTTTTTTTTTTTGGAATTTCCAGAAGTTTTTTCTGTGGAGTTAATTCCAGCAACGATCCTCTAATTATATTGATTTTTCAAAATTAGTCCCTGCCTTTTAATTTGGACATTTTACATTCTTTGACTTTCAATTTCTTTTCAATTGGGATCCTTTCATCAGATTACGGTAAAATGGACTTTAAATGAAAGGGTAACATTGTACATTTCATCTGCCTAATGTATAATTCTTCATATTTCTTCCTTATATACACGACTTCAGACATCAAATTCACTTAATTGCTTAATACCTAATGGATTTTTGTTCTTCGAGTAGATTTAAAGATTAAACAATTAAGTGAATCTGATGTCCGAAGTCGCTCATACGAAGAATTATACATTAGACAGATGAAATGACTATTTTACCATTTCATTTAAAGTCCACTTTACTGTAATTTGACGAAATGACCTCAATTGAAAAGAAATTGAAAGTCAATGGACGTAAAGTGTCTAAATTAAAAGTCGAGGACGCATTTTGAAAAATCAATATAATCGGAAGACCATTACTGAAATTAACTCTTTTTTTTTTTTTTTTTTTTTTTTTGTGTGTGTGTGTGTTTCTTTTTCGCATTAATATTATTTGAATTTTCATTTTTCTAGAAGATGTTTCACATTTATACGTTTGCATTTAATAACTGTCAATTTGAAGTGCACTTAAGTCCACCTTTCCAACTTGAAAGAGACGGTGATTATTTTGGCTGTTCCTTCTAATTTCTTAGGGCGTGTTTGATTTGCGCTTAGGAATCGAAATCGTAATAAAAATCAAATAGTTAGTAATAGTAATAGTTTTGATGAAAATATTTTGTATGTTTGGTAGTAAAATGGAATTAAAATGATTACTATATTGATATTTGGTTATATATGACTCTATAATGAAAATAAAAGTTTTAAAAATACAAAAATAAAAAATCAAGACAATTGATCTTAATATTATAATGACATCCAAAACACAAATATAAACAAAAATCTAAAAGTAATAATCCAAACTTAAACATTAGATTAATAATAAAATGGAATGATCTCTCTTTTTTAATTAGGAAATGATGTTTTTAATTGGAAGGGTAATCAAATTCCGTAGTTGTGTTTTGAAAAATTGTCAATCAAACACTAACTATAATTTTAATTCTCATTCCTAGAAGACCCATGAACCAAACACATCCTTATTTTAATTTCCCAATTTTTGTAAAAACATCCTTTAAAAATTTGAAAATAAGAGTTTTTCCCACTCTCGATCCCACGATATTGTACTTCTCATATATTTTGTTTCTAAAACTATACTATCAAATTCTTACTACGTTCACTCATTTTAATCAAATTTCAATACTATTATATCTAACTGTGTGATCTATAATATTGAGGATTCAAATTTGAATTCGACTATATTGAAGAGTCTACACGTTACTTAAATTTAAATAACTCACATTATTATTATTGATCGAAACTGCCAATTACTTCATAATGTGACATTTTTTGTAGAATTTGAAAAAAAAAAACAATTATTAGCTATCTGTACATTAACTAAATGTTATTAGAGCATCCTTATCAGTTGATGTTATTTCTCAGTTATTTGTGGTTCCCAGCATCCACCTCATCCTCTATCATCTCATTTAATTACAAAAAACCTTTCTTCACATCAATTTTAAGTTATTTCTCAGTTTTTTATGCACCCACCATTTAACCCACTATATTTTAATTATTTCTCTCACTTATTGGGACCACAAATATATCATACTTTGCATAAGAAATATTTTTGAAATAACTCCTCCCCACATCAGCTATTAACTTTGAGTGGAGAGAATTCATGTAGAAATAACTCCTAAATAACTACTAGTGTGGATGCTCTTACGAGTTAATAAAAAAATTAATGTAATAATTAAATAAAAGTAGTACGCATATTAATGGATAATTTTGAGTGGGGAATTTAGGAAAGAGAAAATATGGTTGTTAACTTGTTATTAGGAAAAGGGAATCATAGTTGTAATTGGGTGGAAGCCAACTTGATGGTATGATTAAACACCAGTCACCAGCTGTCATATGAGAATATTTCTCAATAATTTTCATGATTTCTCACATGCACATAATTAAGTTCGGATTAGTTCATGTTTTGACTCTTATGCTTAGCTTAGGTCAAGGGCCAGTTAGGGGCAAACAGATTACATTTTTTAATTTTTTTTTTGAAAATACAGTTTTTAATTTAATTACATTGTTGTTAAAATAAATTCAAATATTTTATTTTGCCAAGCACCTTATGCTCAGATGGCATCCGGGTTGAACTCCTATATGGGAGGTTGTAAGTTCAAGCCTCAATGGAGGCATTATTGACTTTTTGTGCTTTAGTACTTTGAGAAAGTAGCTATGAAATGATACTACATTGTAATAGAGTCAGTAGCATTCAAAAAAAAAAAATCAAATATTTTAATATTTGATTTGAACCGTTCATTATTTTAATAGAATATATATAGAAAAAAGTTGAAGTGTATTAAAAGTGAATGAATTTTTCACACTTGACTATGGTGTCACTAACAATTTTGATTCGTGACTTTCAAAAATGTAGAATTGGTCCACGACTATTACTTTCTTAGCGAATTTGGTCCTTCCAATGCATTATCGTTCATTTTTTTTTAATTTTTTTTTCTTATTTTAACGTGGGTAATATTATCTTTTTTTAAATCTTACCATCAGTAATAGTGTATTTTACTCTTCATCTTTTTTTTTTTTTTTTTTTTAAATTTCTTCTTATATTTAACAATATTATAAAAATGATTACTTAAGATGCATTTGGTGATTTATTTATTTTTCGTAGCGGTCATAATTGAATAAACAATGTGCAATGTTCACTTTCGCATCTCTATTGCCCGTTAGCATGTTCAACATAAAATATACTTAAACACAAAATACACAAATAACATATACAATTTAACTATTAATTTAAACATTCAATCAACGTCGAACACAGTGACTAATTTACTCGCTGAATTTAAGCACCTCTAATTGAGTATTTTACTACTTATATTTATAATGTGTATTAATAATACGTATATATATAATGTGCATTAATTTGTGAGATTTATAATATGTTATATGTGATAACAATTATTTAAATAGATTTATTAATTGATATAAAATATATTTTGTGATTTTGAATATAATAATATCAATAGAGAATTAGAGATGACGTTGTTTATAATTTATTTTCTATTCAAACTATTTTATCTAATTGATTGTGTTTCACATTTTATCATGAATATTTTTATAGCATTTTCAAAGTGCTTTAAAATTTCGCCCCTAGCCAATTATATTTATGGCTCTAACCCTCGCAAATAAGACAATAGTTTCTGTATACATCATCAATAATGGCTTTTAATCACAAATTGATCACAAATATATGTCACAACCTGTACAACTAGGCAATCTTAGCAATTTATAATCATAGAACTCATAAAGAAAACAATCTACCATCTTCAAACCTAGAGAGAAAAAGCTTTGAGCTTCATTAATGGAGATTAGAAGGTTGAGATGGTTACCTTGTTGGTGAGAAGACATTCTTTTTTATTTTGAATTGTTAAAGTGTCTTGCATGATGAAATTAATGATGAGAAATTGCAATTGCATGCTTGTTATGATCAATTTTGCATAATGTGATTGAATGCTACCATGATTTTGCATGAACTCTTTTGTGATGAAATCTTCCATGGACTAATTGGGGAAGATGAAGTTGACTTGTTGACTTTTTGAGTTGAGCTTATAATGTGAATGTGATGAATGTGCAATAATGTAGTCATCTTTGGCTCAATTTAAAATGTGGAAATTGACCAAGAAATAGGGGAAACTA